CAAATATATTGAATTAACACGTAACAAATCATGATGCATCATCATTCAGGTATTTATTCTTGAATTATATTGAACAAAAAAGAAACATATTTGATTGAGTTATTAGTGCTCAGTAGTTCTATATCAAATCGAATATAATATAATATTCAATAGAAATTAATCTGATAATCTAATTTTTTTTTATCATAGATTCAAATAAGAAATTATTTATACAAGAAAATAATGGTTCGTTATTAGATGATAATGATAGCAAACGAAAAAAAAGACGAAATCGTACAACATTTACATCACATCAACTTGAAGAAATGGAACGTATTTTTCAAAAAACTCATTATCCAGATGTTTATGTACGAGAACAATTAGCTGTACGTTGTGATTTAACAGAAGCACGAGTACAGGTATGAAAGTTTATGTTTAATAAAATAGATTTAGTATTAATTCAGAGTTTGTTTTTGCTCTTCGTTTTATAAATAATCAGAAAAAGAGAATTCTTTTAAAGGTTTTTTTTTTTTCTTCTAAAATACATTTAATGATACGAAGATTAAATTAGTGTATATTTAGAAGGATTTGCTTAACCTTATCATAATCATTTATTAATACTCATTAGCACATCTCTGTAAAAATAAGTATGCAGTAATTTTGCATTAGTATGAAGTTGAACTTGATACAAAAGCATCCATCATGATAAACATACACTTTTACAGATGTATTAATTTAATGCCAAGAACAGGTTTTATAATTTGAAAATTTTTCTGTCTACATTAAAACTAAATAAATCTTTGGTTACAAATACGAATATTTATAATTACATAATTCTAAAGAACCACTTGTGATAGTTTTCAAATCTCAGAAGACTGTCAAATTTTGTTTGTAAGATTATCATCTTAATGATCACAAAATTCTAAATAAAGGAGTGGACACTGCATTTCCTCTGATGCTTGTTTAAAAATTTATAAAAATCACAAAAAAATACGCTTGGTATTGTAAACAAATATATAAAATATGTTGGTCTTATATTTTTGACTAGTATTGTAAAATATGGCGACAATCAAAAGCTTAGAGCACTTATATTTTTGAGTTTTCTTCTTGATAGTAACAATTAGGAAGAATTTGAAGATACATATGAAGAGATAAAAGGATTTTCTATCGGGATTTATAGACCGATGAACTTCCACAAAACTGCTTGAATGAGGATGTTTGAAAAATCAAGGCTTACGACAATAAATTTTCTGTCATCCATTTGAAGTTCGGTGAGAATGGGTTTATTTGATAGAGTAAAATGTGATGTCTCACATCAGTTCTCTTCATAACGTTCCTCTATTGAACTACATTCAATTTATAGAAAAACTCAACAAGGAATTTTTGTTTTTTATGAAAATTTTCGATGAGTTCGTTATGCATGGCGCTTTGGAACCTTCCAAAAACTAAATACAAGTTGATGAAGAGTATAAATGAATAACTTTTTAGTATATATTTATTAAAAAGATCTTAGTAGATTATAAATTTTTCAAATAATTTATGTTTATTTGATTAGGTTTGGTTTCAAAATCGACGTGCTAAATGGCGTAAACGTGAACGATACGTTAATATACCTCAAATACATCCATTAACTATGACAACAACAAATCCTTATGATCTTTCATTACTTTCAGTCACTAGTGGTCAATATCCTTCAGTAAAGAAATCAATAACTTAAAATTTCTTTTTATTTTTTATTGATTATAACTTTAGTTAACAGCGGCTAGTAGTTGGTGTTCATCATCGACAAGTTCATTGAGTCATCTTCCTTTTCGAGATCATCATCCATCAACACATTCATCACCATCATCTATAATGATGTCAAACGCATTGCCAAACTTTATCAATATACCTTATGCATTTCCATCATTATCACGAACATCTACTTCAACGAATAATTTTAATCCATCTTCATATACTGGATATAATATTAATTCAGATCATCGAAGTACTTCCATTGCAGCATTACGTCTTAAAGCTCGTGAACATAGTGTAGCATTTGGTAACTTGTAAATATTGACAGTCTATTTTCGTTCATCGTTATCGCATTGGATATGAATAGAACAGTGATGCTTTTTTGTGTTTTTTTTTGCATATTCAATGAAAAAAAGTGTTCAATTTCAATAAATAATAATTATCTAGGAACAAGTAAAATTCTATGATGATAGTCGATTAAATTTCTTCTACTCAGAAAATAAAAATTCAAGATAAATTATAAAGTCAACATTCATCTCTGATCTGTATGCAATCAAAGTCAATCATAGTTATACTTCTAAGTTGTGGGCATGCATGGCTGAACACTAGAAAAACATTGTTCATATGTTTTGTCCTGAGAAAAGATAAATTTGATCACTTAATTTGTTTATGCAAAATCGGTGACAGAGAATCATTGTTTGTAAATAATCGTCTGTGTGCTTGTAACAGGTAATGTACTTACATTTAAAGCTAGTTCATTCATAACATGAAATTAGTCAACTGTAGCAAGTGTTTCGTCACTACCTGCTACGTTTACTGATAACAACTATTACATCGTTCTTTATTTCATTCCAAATTTGATAATTTCAGTATGATTAGATTTGTATAAATTAGATCAATAAGCTTTATTTGACAATTATGCAGCGCAGTGGTCATCATACTAATGGGGATCACCACTTACATCCTAGATTTACCTGATGGGTTTTAAAATGTTACAAATGCAAACATTCGGTGCAACTAGTTATTGTATTCAATATGTATCAGACTATAGATAAAGCTTGTTAAAAACTATTCTGAAAACAAAATGGTCAAGGTCGTTAAAAGAACGTTCGAACAGCATTATTGTTATTAGTTTTTATTAAAACTATCTATCTGTTGCTAAGATACACATAACACTTTATTCAAGTGACTTGTATGTTTCATTGATCTATGTATGAATTGATAGAGCTGCTTATGAATGTATGCTTTTTATTTTAATTAGGTCACTATTTCCTTGGAAAAACAACTAATAACACTAAATATATGACCAAAATCACTGAAAACCACTCTAGTTTCTATGACTTTTCGTGTAAAACACGAGATAAAAGGAAAGTTGGAGTAAAGAGGTAGAAACTTGAACTTTCTCTACACGCGTGACAGACATAATTGCAAGATTGGTATTATAGTTGCTCTTTCCTTTTCTTTGAGATCCATTGCAATATATTTTGATTAATATCCACATGGTTTGATGTAAGGTAGAAATTCATAAAATCAAAACATATTGATTAATCTCCTGTTTTACAATATTAGTAGATCCATGCTGTTTCACATTTTAATCCTACAGAAATTGCGCTAACAGTTTTATCTAAATTCTGTGAAAGTGCGTATTATTTCCTCAGATTTAAAATAAATAACGTAAAAACCGTTATGCATATATTTCGACGTATAGCACATGTTTAAACATACTTAATCAAATGTATCTAGTTGCCTGTCAGGGAAAATAAGAGCAACTATCTCATATGTATAATCAGATTTCGAGTTGTAAAAGTATCTATTTAAGTTTCTTCTTCAGATTTCATTTTATTGATGAAAAAATTTAATTTTTTCTTATTTCAGTGGCAAATGGATCAAAGATAAGCTTGTCTATTAGAGTTTTCATTATCAAAACTCAGTCGAAAAACAAGGTAAATGATATATTAAGAATTAGCAAGGAAATCAATATCGATTTGTATACATTTTAGTAAACTTTGTTTCCAATGACAAATCGAGTTCAGGGGAACCACAGGCAATATTTTTGGAAAGCAAATGCTGAAAGGAAGTAAAAACTGATTAAGACTAGACTGTTTTTGGCCTGTTTGCGACAAAAATAAGAAAAGCATAAAATTTTCTCACCAGTAAAATAAAAATGGATACTTATAGTACTCTAAATCTGGTGATATAAATGAGATAAGACGCTTACTTTTATGTTCTCTTACAAACAACTAAATAAGCTCAATAAAGTACTCATTAACATATTGTATACACGTTGATAAATAATGGATAGCGATTTCTACGTTATTATTTTAAAATTTAAGCAAGTAATAGTTTTCTCGTAAGTTTACGATTGAATATTAAGCAAAGAAATTCGAGAGACTGGAATTCTTATGATATATCTATGATGTCAGTCATATATATTTTTTTCAATGAAACTATGGTCTAATTGAAATTAAAAGTATATAAATTCGTAAGCATCTATTCAAACATAAAAGAAATATAAATAAACCAATGAGACATGAGTTCTATTTGAATAAGGTGTGATGTACACATTACTGTTTATTGTCTTTTGCTTGACTTTATCTTTGTTCTTATGTTATTTTACGCAGTTATAACTGATATTTTATCTATGTTTCATTTTTTTTCTATAAATAAGAACCTGAGAAGTTAAGACAAATGTACTCTTTACCTTGTTGTGCAAGGACAAGCTATTAGTACGATTCTTGCAGGACTAAAATGTGCAAGACAATAGAGTTGCCGATATTATAAAAGAGAAGACTAATCAATAAATATTTCGATTTATGAATTCCTATCTATTATTAATGCATATAAAAGTCAATCAGAATATATTTCACTAGACTTTGATCTCTCAGTTATGTGTATCATGTAGGGGAGGTTCTGCTAAAGTGTCTATGAGGAGTTTAAAATTCTGTTTCCATACTTTAAAGTTCCTTTTAAATCATGTTTCACATAATAAGCACATCAATATACTCAAGTGTCTCGAAACTATCAAGATTGGAAGGAAGATGATCTCTGTACGGAATATCCTTGAATATACTGTGCATCTGATAATATACAACGATTGATAAATGTCATTCAATCGATCTATATATAAGAAAGAACAAAATTTGAAGAAGAATTCGAAGCTTTTTATTTTTATCAACATCATTTTACAATTAATGTTAATTCGATCTTTAAATTAAATGTTCTTTAATCATGAGTATTCGTACAGAAGAATATCATGTAGAAATTAATCTTTACTAATATACAATTTCTCAAAGAACATATGATACAATCGATGTTGATGATTCACTTGTAGGTAAAATATTTGATATTCTATCTGATTGTAAAATATCATAATATAAAGATACAGTTTTTAACTTAGTAGTTTTTCTAATAATTAAATACATTAATATACTAGTTATGGATATTATAATAATAAAAAGTAATCCATTAATAAATAATTTCGTTGAATTAAATTGTTTTTTTTTATTTAAAAAATTAATTTTTATTAATTTATATTCATTATTATTATGAAAAATAATTTCTTCATCAATTAAACATTCACGAGAAAAAAAATCTTTTAAGAAAACTGTTCGATTTCGATTATTATATGTAACAAGTATGTGTTTTATTATATTAGAATGAAAAATATTTCGTTCAATATGAAGTATTGGATAACCACAATTATGAATAATAAAATGTATTTTTATTGAAAATAAATTTAAAAATGTATCTTTTAAAATATTGATTTGTTTTAATTGAAAATTTTGTGTACTATCAAAAATAATAAGACTACGATTATTCTTTATTGATGAATCATCAGAAACTGTTTTATTATTATTATTATTATTATCATCGACAAAAAAATTCGATGGTAATGTTAAATTATTAATTGATAATAGTGCAAATTCAATATTGATATTTGATAATAAAGTTTTACTAAAAAATTTTAATGGTTCTGATTGATTTATTATACATCGAATCCATAAATTATCGATAGATAATATTAAACAAGGTACATCATGAGATTTAAAACGTACAAAATAATTATAAGAATAATTAGTGGATATTAAAATAAAAGTAAAAATTAAAAGTTCTATAAACATAGATGATACTTGTAAAAACAGGCGCGTATGTTCTTTGGACTTTGATCTGGCATAAGAACAAAAATATTTTTGTAGCAATTATCATACCAAAATATCTTTATGGATATAGATTAGTAACAGAAGAAAATAGCTATATATTAGGATAGAACGTTTTTGGCTTTATATTGAAAAATTTTCCGGTAAACATGGAAAGAAATGAATATTTTATCGTAACCATACTTATACCATAAAATTAGCTACGTATTGTTTATTTACCTTGATTTTTTGATAAACTCACTGTCGCAATTCGTTTTTGTTATCTTAAGATATCTATTGTGTATTCTGAAGGACAACATTTCATTGAGTTTAAAATTTTAATAAAATGATAAGTTCACGAAACACATTTCTATTGATTTTAATATGTATTCTATCATCAATAACAAGTAGCATCTCTGAGAATGTTGTCGACGACGTTGTAGACACTAACAAACTTAACAATTCAACTACTACTGGTCAAACAACTGAAAATCCAGTACCACGTTGGGCAGGTTTTGTTGGATGTCTTGTAGCATCAATTTTTTTCGGATCCAACTTATTACCCGTAAAACAATTTTCAGCTGGTGATGGATTTTTTTTTCAATTTATATTCTGTGTTGCTGTTTGGGTTGTGGGTCTTGTACTTGATCTTATTTTGGGTAATCAACGTTTCTATCCACTTGTACTTCTTGGAGGTAACAAATAAAAACTTTCGTTTTCTTTTTTTAATATTTTTTATCTAAAATTATTTTTAGGTGTACTCTGGACAACAGGAAATCTTGTTACAGTATTTTGTATAAAGACTTGTGGACTTGCTGTTGGTTTACTGATATGGGGAACAACAAGTTTAATTACGGGTTGGGCAGGTGGTCGTTTTGGTATTTTTGGTATTCAACCACAAGTACCAAAAGGTTCAGCCAAATTAGCAATGAATTATGCATCAGTTATATTAGCTGCGCTTAGTGGAGTATTTTTTCTTTTTATTAAATCAACAACAGCACCAAGAGCTGTTAAAAGTTCCAATGTAGATGATGATCGATCATCAATTGAATTAGAAAAGGCTGAAAGTACCAATGCTGAAGAGAGCGTAGATCTTGAAACTGATTTTCCATTTCTTAATCGATTAAGTGACAGAGTACAACAAATAGTAGGTTGTGTTTTAGCTAGTGCTGCTGGAATATTTTATGGAGTAATGTTTATTCCTGATCAATATATACGTGATCATGCAGAAAATTATAAACATAATGATGAATTACCACCTAATAATGGTCTTTATTATATTAATTCACAATATTCAGGTGTTCTTCTTTCATCTTTATTTTATTTTATTATATATGCAGCATTCAAACGTAATAAACCATCTATTTATCCATCTATTGCGTTACCAGCTATGGTTAGTGGTACTATGTGGGGAATAGCAAATATTGGTTTCATTGTTGCCATTAGTGCATTAAAAAATGCAGTCGCTTATCCAATTGTTAATGTTCTACCGGGTATTGTAACTTCATTATGGTCATTATTTTTATTTCGAGAAATTCAAGGAAAAAAAAATTATATATTTCTTGGTATTGGTATGCTTATTCGAATTCTTGCCGCTATTCTTAGTGGTCTTTCAGCATAATTATTAGTGCACTGTGTTTATTTTATTTTTTTGTTAATCGCATATAACCGCTTTGTTTTTATTTCATCTTACTTTTAGCAAAAGACGACAAATAAAAGATCAACGAAAAAGAAAAAGAAAGAAAGAGAACTATAATGTTTAGTATCACGATAATACACGAACACAGAACAGTTGGTTAACTATTTTGCTTCAAATCTTGATTAGCATGGAATGGAAACGTATATGAATTAATTTGTTGTTGTTGTGGTTGTTTGTTCATTTTTATTTTCTTCATTCGTTTTGGCATCACCATTTGTAGTTTCGGCTTCATTCTAGAAAAACAAAACATATATAATTATTTATCATGAAAAATTTTTTAAACATACTTTTTCATTCTGTTTAGCCATTTTAGCAAATATACTAGCATATAATTGTTTTTCTTTTTGATGATAAGCTTTCATTTCTTCACGACATTTTTGAATAAATTGTTTAGCAGCACTATTTGATGGATTTAATTTTAAAACTTCTTGAAAATCTTTCATAGCATCATCAAAATTTGACATTGATAATTGACATTGACCACGACGAAATAAACATTTTTCATTTTTTGGATCTAATTCTAATGCTTTCTCACATGCACGAATACATTCAGTATGGTCATTTAATTTTAAATAGCATAGAGCAATATTTGACTGTGCACTTATTTTAAATTCTTCAGCTTTCTTTTTATCATCTTCATTTTCATAAGTTGTTGTTTGAAGATAATCACCAATTTTACTATATTTTTTAATAGCAACTCGATAATGTCCATCCTAAAATATAAACAAATAACAATTTGTAATTCGTTAATATAGACAATAACCATTCTTCTTAAGAATAAACTTTTATTTTAATTCATCCACACAAAAGACTTTTACAGTTTTATAATTAAATAATTTACACTATAATATAGATAAATGAATCCATTCGTAGCTGACACATTTGTTTTGCACTATCTATCAGTGTGTTGCATTACTAACTACAAGTGATGATATACTGGCAGTAGATTTTCAGTCAAAACGCAACTATCGATATAGCGTACATTATACTGGATAGTTGTTTCCGATTGGCAACATTATTTTCTTTCTATGATTTTATGCTACATCCGATTTTTCTTATTTTGAATATTTGAGGTATTTTATTAATTTTTTCAAAGTTTTGTTGAAATTTAATTCCTTATTGTTCAAAGAAAATACTTAAGTCGATGCAGTTTTTCAAGACTCTCAAGAGCTAATATATTACTTTAGTTTAGAGATGAGTGGGAATAACTTTTTCTACGTTGACTGAGAAAAATTTTCTAGAACTCGAAGGAAATTTGGCTTTTCGGCAAGTTCAAAAAAAGAAAGAAACATCTGCAAAAAAAACACATCGAAGATAGAAACAATATAGTGGTATTAAAGCAGAGATGTAGAATTTGGTGTTCGAAGAATTTTCGCAGACTGAGTGGTATCGAAAAATTTTCCAAGGATGTTTTCGTACGAGCGGTCAAACTCTGCACTCCATTATAGAGGGCATAGTGATATACTACGATACCGATGGTACTACTATCACAGCCCATCGGGCTCGAGTTTAAAAATTTTCACTAGTCGAAAGAAGACTATAATACATATAATACTATTTTTTCAACTTATTGATAAAAACAAATCGAAAAAAAACATCGAGACTCCTTTTGTCTGTAGGATCTAAACCTAGTTACTATTAGGTTCGGATCTGGATTCAGAAATTCTTGAACGCGATAGACTATAGTCACTATACCACAGTAGTGCTTGTACCGCTAACTAGTGTTTTTATCCAGCATGATGACAGAGAGGGCAACATCCCTTTCAAAAGTCAGGTTGGCCTCCGGGACTTTGTGATTATAATACTACGTACTATGTGTGGAGACTCTCAAAAATACATTCTCGCCCTTCAGCAAGAAAAAAAACTAGTAAGAACATTGCCACTAACTTCTGTAAATATTGATGTTGCTACAAATTCAAATTCTACCTTATATAACTTTCTAATCCTTACAGTTGCATTACTGTACACATTTCTACTTTAAATGTTTTGAATCTATTTTTCTATTGTAGGCTGTTGCTTTTATTATTTTTTTTGTATAGTTTAGTGGTGAAGTTTGATGTGAACATCCGTGTGCTTATTTCTATTCTAAATGAATTACTTATGAAAATAATACTTTTTTTTTATCAAGTTTTATATTGAATACAAGCCAAGAAAAAATAATATTTTTTCCCAGTCGAGCAACATTGAGGAAGAATTTTTAAAACTTTATAGTATTTATAAATTCTCTTGATAATAGTCTACAAATACGAAATTCTTATTCAATGATAAAGAACTTCTTTGAAATACTTCATTCAAACCAGCCTACAGTTAAAAAAAAAATTTGTTGATATTCTTACTGTAACTAATTGTGCAGCACGTTTTTTTAAAATTTCAGATTGTTCAAGTTTTTCTGCATCATTCATTGACCATGATTCCTTAGCCTATAGAATAAACAAAAAGAAAAAAAAATTATTCTTATTAATTTAATTATCTTTACAAACTTTTTCAAAATTCAATAATGTAACATCATATTGAACAGGAGTATTTTTTGGTATGTTAAATTTTTCTACACCAGTTGTTGCTTTAGATTTTAATTTTAACTGAGCATGTTCATTTTTTGTCATTTTTGTAACAGCATGTTCAACACTAAAAATACTCCCGTAGGAGAAATTAATTAATCACAAAACTAAAATAATTACAAACCCTTCAGGAATATTTTGTAAGAAACCTTCACCAACAGTAAATGATACAGTTCGTTCATCGAATACATGATCATTATGAGTACCCTTAAGCATAACTTCAACAGTAGCACCATCATTTGGTTTCGCCCATCCTTCACCTTTTATTAATGTTCGTCGAACAATACTGTGATCTTTTCCTTCACTTAAATCTTCACCTAGGAAATAAAAATTCAAAATTTTTTTTTTTTGTTTTTGTTTCAAAGAAACAAGATAGAAAAGACATTACCAACAAAGTCAAAAAGTTCAATTTCAAAAATTAATGTTGCATTTGGACCAATTTTATCACCTGAACCACTTTCACCATATGCATATTCAGGTTTACATGTTAAACGACAAATTTCTCCACGTTTCATTGTTGCGACACCAATATCCCATGCTTTAATAACTGAACCTTTACCAAGTTCAAAATCAAATTTTTGATTACGATCTCGACTACTATCAAATTTAGTTCCATCAAGTAATGTACCAACGTAATGTACATAAACTTTATCATTTGCTAATGGTCGTTCATCACCATGACCTTCTTTAAGTATTTCTTTGAGAATACCTTTAATAAAATTAAAAAAGAAAAACGGAAAATAAGTATTTTGAAAGATTGAAATAACATTAATTGTTTTTATAACAAACCTCCATCTTTTTCAGGAGTTATATCTTCGCCTTGAAATGTCGTTTTTTGTTCGGTTTCCATTGATGTCATGATTTGTGTTGGCTAAATGAATGAAATGAAAAGAAAGGAAATGAATTATGTTGCTTTCTTTCGAGAAGCTTCTTGACGTTAGATGTCGTTCTATGCGTAAATTTTTATTAATAAAAAAATGAAAAAAAAATTTCACTTTGAATTTTAAAAATTAAAATAAGTATTTTTCAATTGACAAAAAAAACAGAATATTATTATCATTGATTATGGTTGACAAAGAAAAGAATTGGATTATGGCGGCTTATCAATCAATCAGCTCTGAAGAAATTTTGTGTTATTCGATTGATATTTTTCTTGTTAGTATATATTTACTTTTAGCTAACTAAGAGGTTCTTCTCTAGAACTTCGATATCCTATACACTAATTAGTCTAATTAATAGAACACATCCAACAATGTGGATGCTATGATGTCACTAATATATCAAATATCTTTATACTGCACCGGTTACCGATCTGATTTTCAGCATATTTTTGTTTCATTAAATGAATTTATTACACTCGTGAAAAGTTAACCATGTATTAGAAGTTAATTTTGATATAAACTAAAAATTTTTCATCTCGAAATTCCGAGCGTACTTTGTTAAACTAATTTTAAGCTAGTCTCATAAAACCTTAATAACCAGTAGTTTTCAATTCATACTTTCATTAAAAAAATATCAGAGAAGAACTTTTACGAATTGAAATAACTTTCAGCTGTGTTACATAATTATTTCTAATAATAATATATGAAACTTGTCAATTGTAAGAAAATCATATGATTATTGAAAAAAGTCAATCATAGCATTGTATAAATGTTGTTCAATATTTATTGTCATGTGCTTCTTGATGAAATACAATGGACTAAAATATAAGTTGTTATTATTATAAACTCCAATAGCTACACGAATTTTACATTGTATATCTGATTGCTTAATTGATATAGTAAATACAACGGTTTTTTGCCGGTTGAGTCAACAATTTCAATTGTTCGGCTCCAAGATAGTTTAGATGAAAGCTCGACATGAATGCTTTTAAGAAATGAACTTGTTTCGAGTTTTCATCTACATTATGAGTCCTACTTATGAACGAAATATGAAGTCAACCAGAAGGTATTAGTTACAGAAATTTGCTCGTAAGATATTCAAGTGATTATTTTTCTTTTTAATATTTGTTACTTGGAAAACAAAATGATAAGTGAAATCACATTTTTAAAATATCAGCTATTCACAGTTGGTGACAAAAATCAAAAGAATTGAGAAAGAAATCTTTTCATGGATAATCATGTATGTTTTATAGAATTGTCTATCAATATGTCTAATCAGTTTTAGTAGCTGTTAGAAGATTTTTTAATTCACCCAAGAAAAATTACAATCAGAACATACTTAGATTTATTCTAATAAGCGATTTAACCAATGATGACAATAATAAATCTAGAGATGACTTGAATAGAAATTATTGCAATTTGATTTTCTCAAAGAAAATTATGTTTTATGGAAAAATTAAAGGATTTTCGATTCCATACAGAA